GTGCCTTTTTCAACCGGACATGCCTCTCTCGTATTGGCCTTTTTAGCCACCAACGTGCTTGCAACAAACGGGGGTAGAGCCCTTCCCAAATCTTCGTTCACGAAGCCTGGCCATGATTTGATTTTGAGTACTAGGATTTATTTAAACATTTCATCCATATGAATGGGGCTTTGCCTACTTTGTATTCCATAAATTGGTGAGCATGGTTTGGAATTTGTGGAAAAGAACTGATCTGTCATAATGTGTTTTGGGTGGTTTCTTAGTATATAGCATTCAAACATTCAGGATATGGAGCAGGTAGATACATAGAAGGACTGTGATTTGATGGAGATTGAAGAGAAGGGTTTCGAGGGAAGGTGTAGGGAAAATGGATATGCAGGTCAGGAAGCACAGAGCTGAGTGGGAGGGGAAAAAAAGGAGTTTGCCTTCTTGAACCAGTCATATGATTAGTATGATATTGATATAATCAGCTTACTTTTGAGACTTTTCTTTCGTGGTTCTTTGCTCTACAATGACTACTGGTTGGAGTTTAGTTGGTCAAGTAAGGAACATGCTGACTTTTCTCAAGTGATACTCAGCTAGGGAAAAGTTTGAAGCTGCTGCTGTCTAAAATAACTGTCTGTGTTAAAAACTCCATATGAACATTAACTGTACTTAGCATGGTATGCTTAAGCAGTCTTGAGGAATTGATAATGCTCTCCTTGTGCTCAAATTGGAGGTACTTCTAAAATTGCTTCATCTGTAGTCCATTCATCTATCCTGTATTCAGATCTGTTTTGAAAAATTGGTGAATGTTGTTTCACTGTGTTCCGACAGTTGATTGCAAAACATGGTTTTGTAGTGTAGGGAAACAAAAGCTTTTCCTTCTGTTTCTTACTCTACACTCAAATAGCATATAAAAAGAAAAGCTATAAATTATGTACCTTAGGTAGACATAAGTTCATAGTGTTACATGGATTTTTATAGGAGTTAAATGGAAATAAATGAATGTGTTATCATGGGTGCAGTGGTGTTTTCCCAGTTTCCACTATTCCCAGAATTGAGTTGAGCAAATATAACAAATCAGAAATGGAGGGGAGGAGTAGCACATGCTGGTACCGTAATTTAAACACATGGTCTGTGAAACATTACTGTGCACTGTTTTTACATCTGTGTTATCTTTACCTGTTTTCATTGCTTTGCAAAATTGACCAGCAGAAAAGTGAGAAAGTGTTCTCCAGTATGAAGGTTTATGTATAGTCCAGTATATATAGGGCAGTCTTTACTATGCTGTTCCATGTTTTATAAATAAATAGGCTAAAAGAAAGAAATAAAGAAATCATGCTGTATGTGGCATGTTTCTCAGTGGAGCAGAATATTTGAAAACATACACAACCAGAGATGCAGTGTGCTTACAGTACCTTGCTGAGGTTTAAACCCAGCCACCAAACAGTTTAAATCATTGGTGCGACAATCAGAGGGAAGCCACGTTCATCCAAAACATAGCCCAGTACTAGCCACTGGGCTAGTAGTGAAGGAAATTAGCTCTATCCCAGACAAAACCAGCACATATCTCTATTAAATGAGCTGTATTGTGACCCTACTACACTGTGTCTGTAACTCTTTGACCTGGAATTGTTCATGTGCATGTTTAGAGAGGGTAAAAAATATATATCTTAAAACAGTTTTAAAAACCAGTTTGTGGTATGTTCTACTTTGTAACAGAAAGTACCTTCAGTGATTAGAATGCGATAAGTAATTCTATATCAGTAATTGTTTTGGTGACTACTGTCCCATTTTATGTTCTTCTGAATTTAAATGTTGCGATTTTGCTGAAGTAAATGAAAATGGGTGTTCCATGCAATCCAGAAAAACTTAATTTTAAGGATAATTAATCTAAGAAAAGAATGGTACCAAGTTAATGATGCATTGGATTCAAATTGATAAAAAAAATCTGAATATGAGTTTCAGTTGATACCAGTTCTAAATGAATGGATAACCAACTTTGTTGTCAATGTTCAGTGTGTATTGGGAGTTGTATTTTTGTCAACATGTACTTCTCAGTGTTGCTTAATTACATAAAGATAGCATTGGTGCTTGTTACGAATAACCTACATTTGTTGTTCATTAGCAAAACATGCTCATCACATAGTCAAAAGGTGAAGTAATCATTCGTTACACATTTGTATTTTCATTGAATTGAATACGTTTATGAATGACAGCGCTGAACGTACTTTCCATTTTTTTCAAAACAGAAAGTTAGGCTCTGCAAAGGGCTGGGTGGATTACTTGGCAGTTTCACTGTCCTCATCTTTTCACGTTAGTTGAAAGGCACATCACTTTTACATTACTGCTTTAATGTGAATGATTACTTAAATTGCCACAGAGAGATTGTTCAGTTGTTAGGGGTGAGGGGAGTAGTCCAGCAAATAATCTGAGTACATGGTCTATGCACAGCAAGTTTGGGAAGACTAGTGGTTACTTACTAACCAGCTCATTACCACTCCCTAAGCACTGAATATGAACTCATCATGCCAAGGTACTGGACTGTGCTTGAGATTCCAGACATAACTGGCTTTGTTTGAAAGTCTGTGAAGTCACATTTAAAAATGGCAAATAACTAATCAATGAGAAGAGGGAAGAGAATGTTTAATTCAAGAATACAAAATCTAGTTATGGTACAACAGTCTAGATTACAATATTCATGATGAACCTTATCTCCCGCTCTGATTGCTGCAGCTGTTGGTTGGGAAAGTGATGGTAGCCAGGGTAAGGGTTTGAGAATCTGACATACAGTGATGTTTGGAGAGAATCCAAACGTTCTTGTTTGGTTTTGAATGTGGCTGTTGTTGGCAGGCTTAACTTTTTGTTGTTAAACTTTCTGTGTGAGCAGGTCATTGCTGTGAATGCATGACTGTCCTAACTCTCGCTTTGTTTTGTCTTAGTCATATTGATCAAACAACAACATGGCAAGATCCTAGGAAGGCCATGCTCTCCCAGATGAATGTTACAGCTCCCACTAGTCCTTCCGTGCAGCAGAACATCATGAACTCAGCATCGGGTAAGCAAAATCTGTATTTATGAAAAAATCATACAAATAAAGAAACTACAAGCTATTGTAATTGGGGAAGAACATTTAAGAAATGTTCTTGTAGTTATCCTGGTTTAAAACTTTAAATTTGTTCATGTCTGATGCATCAAGCAAGAAGCTGATACTTGAAGTAAGAGATTTTTTATAATAATTGTGTTTATAATAGTCATGTTTTTATAATATTTATATTTATACTGTAGTTCTTTGATTTGTGGTTTTTTTTCAAATGAATGGTTCAAATTTCTAAGGAAGCAGAATTTTTGTCTAGTTTCTTCTGGCCAAAAATGCTGTTAAATTGATAAAGTCCAGAATTTCCATTAAATTAACATCAATTTACATTAAAGCTTTTGTGCTTCTGCACTGTTCTTCTGTCTCCCCTTACTCACTGACCGGATGTAGTACACTGACATTTATTTACATTTCCTACATTTATTATGAATATCTCATTTTTTCCTGTCTTCTCTAAATGCATCAAGGGAACACCTAGAAAATCCTGTTTAGAAGCAGAGATGTTTTGGTTTTCCTCTTGTTTTTCTATTATTTCCAAAATCCAGTATCATAATGATTATTTCTATAGCTGAGGAAGTCTGATGTCTTTTCCTGGAATACAGAATTGTTTTCAACTGGTCTGGGGGGGCCATCACTAGGTAGCAGTAAAGTGTTCTTGTTCTTGCTATAGAACCTGCTGTATGTTTTCAGAGCTCTCTTGTCCTTATTATGCAGACAGCAAGCAGATAAATTTGGTGCCATGCTAGTTTGAATGCTGTGGTCTTTCCCTTGCTTTGTCACCTTCTGTCTGTCACGGAGGTTCATGTTATATTTATTTTCTCACAGTCTGATTGTATTTTGTGTATGTCTGCTGTTCCCGTACTACACAAAGGTTATTTCTCTGGTGCTGCTCTTTGTGGTCCGTTTAGGCAGCTTTGTTTCATGCTGCAATTCATGTGCTGCAGACAATACTGAAAGATTAACAGGCGTGACCAAACTGTGCTGTTCATGACTGAGTAGTAGAGGGGAAGTTAATCAAACTTTTTGCTGGCTAGGCCAGGAGACTGGATTATCCTGAAACAAATGAGTCCTGTTCAAGTTCAGGAAGTCGTGATTCACAGCAATTAAGGTCTCAGGCTCTTATATGAAAATAAAATAGCTTGATTATTTTTTCTGTAAATCTGTCTCAGGAAATCTGCAGCAATAGAGATGACATGTTTTTGCAGGGACACTTCTGAAGAACAGAGAATAGGAGAAAGGAAACAATTCCCTTGGTCTATCTTGGTTTTTGGCTTATCTTGTTTGTGCTAAAACAAGGTGCTTGCTGTTTCAATATTGACATAAATTCTGTATTTTCAGTTAACTCCTCAAACCTTCAGTTGTACCAAGAATGAATAGGAAAAAATACTGATAGTAAAGTAGGATTCATTTTAGGTACTTAAAAAGAAATTAAGAGTCTTTAGCAAAAAAATTACCTTTAATTGTAACAAGGTAACAAATGAGAAGAGAACCTAGCAATCAGCACAGGAGGACTATATTTGAAAGAAAATAAAGAATTTACATGTAATTGCCTGATGTTTGTGAGTGAGTGGTGCCACATAGATATTGTTGCTCATGCAATAAAAAACAGTTCAGATGTTTAAGTGGGTTGTCTTGTGATTTGAGAAAGCTCTTATTTAAATACAGGTTTATTCAACATTTATTTTTAATTTCACATATCATACTGTGTTGAATATCAACTGAAAATCATGTAAAGTTTTTTTCCACCAGTGCTCTGAATTGGATAAAGTGCATGAAGAACAAAGAACTTCTCTGTATACTGAGTTACATGTTTACATGGTGTTAGGGTTTTTTTAAGCTTAAATCAGTTGAGGTAGTATGACTTGGAACTGACTCTTTGGATGCATCTGCTTACCCTTATTTGCTATTAACAAAAGTCTACTTGGAATTAAATAATGATGAACCTGCATGTATTGGGTACAGTTCTTTTTCTGATACCTGATTTGGCAAATGTTTAGTACTAACTTTAAATTATGACTGTATATTTATTTTTCGTAAAGTCTCTTATATCTATTTTTGTTGGTTTTTACTACTGAGTTCACGGTAGCTTATGCTTCCATGGTGGCCTCTTAAAAAATCTTTGAGAGAAATGGAAAAATCAAGTAATTCTTGTACCATTTCAGCATAGTGGAACTTAAATCTTAGTGTCAACGTCATGGCTATAAGACTGCTTAATGTTCTAATTTGGATATTCATCCTCAAGAACTGGGAAATAAAGCTGAGACCTTTAAGACAGAAGTTTCCTGTTATGAAATATTGCTGGCAATGAAACATGCCCTAGTGCTATGAGAGTCTTTCATGAAAGATATGGGGAAAAACTGAGCGTAAGTATTGTGACAGCTGGAGGTCACTGACTTGCAAAAATAGGTCTGAAATGCCACAAGGAAGAATGTTTTGCTTTCTGTATAGACCTTGTGTAGTGCTTGTTAATTGTAACCCTTAATCAAAGTTACTGTCCGAGTTTTAATGTACCACCATAGGAGCTTGTGAGTAAAGTTACTGTGATAAAATGCAAGAGAGATTTTTGGGAGCTGTCTCAAAAGTCTTTAGGAGCTTTAACTGTTTAGCCAGAATTAGAATTCCCATCATTAGCTAGAATTAAGAACAGGAAAGCAAACAGAAGAGGCAGAGAGAGGAGACCTCTGAAAGCTGCCGTGTGCATATTGGAGATAAATCTGTTGTCTTTTTGGATAAATAGGGAAAGTAGAACCCAGAAAAAATGGGAAGAAAGCATAACTAGAAGGTGTCATAAGGGTAAAGGCAAGTCAAAAGATTGTTTAAAATATAAAAATGGGAAAGATGTAGTTTAGCATGAGGTTGAAATTTTTAGGTTGTTTTAAGAAATTCCATCTCTTCACGCACTTGAGACTGGATGAGAACCCATGTATCTTTCTGCATGTAATGTTCCTTTGAGGAAGTTAATAGACATCTGATCCAGCTTTATCTGTTCCTGGCATGATTTTGTGAATGAATTATTTTTTGAGTTTTAGTTAGCATGCTACCTTTACGAGAAGGCATCAGAGTGAAAAGTGAGGGTTTTTTTTTTTTGTCTCAGTCCTGCTGATCTTAGCTTGCTACACATAATCAACTAAAATAATTTGGGCCATATGTATGCAGAGAAAGCAGCCCAGTGCTCTTTTAGATGGCATTTGTTGGTTAATCTTCTGCGAAATACAATTGCATATTCACATCAATAGTGGGAAGGAAACAATCCTGTTAATTGTAAATATCCCACATGTATATAAAAATTATTTGTGACTGTTCTGATTTTTTGTGTTGTTTCTAACCATTTTTTCCCTGAAGGTATTACAGAAGAAACTATGTTCTTCTGTCTTCATTTAAAACAAACAAACAAAAAAAAGTAATAATAATGGTACATTGTTCTTCTGAGGAACATCACCTACACATCTCTTACTGAGGTAAAATTATACATTTGAAAATAAACAGTGGCTGTTTCTTACACAATTGCAGTTGATATAACAGAGGTGGGATAGTAATTGTAGTTACATACTTCGGTTCTTCAGATGCTTTTACTTTCTGAATCATGTTTGACAGCACTGCTTACTTTAGCCTCTTCCGCTTGCGCATAGACCTTAGATAATTAGCTTTGGAGCAGATTACTTGTCTTTGTCCTCTTTTGTCTTCAGTCTTATGTGGCAGTTTTCAGTTGGGTTTCCCAATGAGAGTTTACTGACCTAGTGCAATTCTTTTGTCTCTTAAGGTGAGACTGTAGTGCCATGTTAAAGGTTGGTAGGAAAATGAACACTCAAATTCATAACTTATGGGTGATAGGAGGGTAGGAAGGAATATGCCAGTAAATAAAACAAGTTCTAGCTGTTCTCTTAGGTTCTTGCTCACTTCAATTAGATGTTTCTCCTCTACGTAACCAGTCTTACTACAAATTCTGCTTTGTGTACAGTCAACATTATATACAATCTGTTGTGAAAATCAAGTTTCTAAGTATTTCCATGACAGTAATGTTCATTGCTTTCTTCATCTGCAAAAAACACCCCTTTTTAAATAGTGTCCATTTGTAATTTTTACTAATTTGACAGGATAAATATCTACTCTAGGTAAACTTTGTAGACTTCGCTATAATTTTAAAAAGTTTTGGAATTACAGTGTCAGTGCATGAAGGGAAAAATTTCAGCTGTCACAGAAAAAGATTAGGAAAGTTCTTGGAGATCAGTGTTTGTATTAGGTGAGGTGATTCCTGTTGTTGAATATAGGTGTTCTAGTTCCTACGTTGTCTATACATATTCTTTTAGTATATAGATACAGCTTCCCTCTAATATGCATTGACCTTTTGATAAAATATGGCTTTATTTACATTTATTTTACAATTAAATCTAAGAAACTGTAGGGACTTGGAAGACTCCCTGTGTATCCCAGTATAGTTGGAATCTCTACTAAATTTTTTCTTTGTTACTCTTGCTGTTGTTCTCTGCCAGCAGCAAGCTCTGGTTTGCATTCCATGTTTCATGGCATATGAGAAGGTAAAAAAAGTCTCACAAAATGTGGAGACATGCACCGAAGAGACATGTACACCAGCTTTTGAAATTACATGTTATTTATATTAAGTTACACCATTATATGAATATTTAGTTACAGAAGAATGCCTTATCAGTAGTTATGTACAGATGGCTTACATTTGGAAATTGGAATTTAAATTTTTTATGACTTTGTCCTTAAAAGTACCACAGTGCAGGGTGAGTTGCCTAGAAAGGTTGTCTCTTCCTTTGCAAATAATCTCATAGAATTGTAAACTTATGATTGTGATAGTGTTCTGTTGACCTAAGAAGCACCAAACAGAACTGGTAGGAGCCCATGTCACAGGGATATTGTTGGTGGGCAGACTGGAAAAGTACTTGAAAGATATTTTGGTACCTAGTAAGCAGACAGAATCTAGTTCAAGGAATAACTTGAGATAGAATCATAGAATATCCTGAGTTTAGAAGGGACCCACAAGGATCATTGAAGTCCAGCTCCTGGCCCTACACATGAATGTCCCAAGAATCCCACCATATGCCCAAGAGCATTGGGCAAATGCTTCTTGAACGCTGGCAGACTTGATGCTCTGACCACTTCCCTGGAGAACCTCTTCCAGTGCCGAGCATACTTGGAGGCCAAGGGACTATTCATAGCCTCTTTAACTTTTAGGTCTGTGTGTGTATTCAGTGCTTTATTTAAAAGTTTGTAGACTACGGCACTCACTAAATGGGCTGTTTTCAGTAACAGGATCTGTCCATCACACCAGGCTAGATGTCTGGACTAAATGGACCTTTGGTTAGACCCATCATTGCTGTTTCTGTACCACATGGGCTACAGTAACTGTGGAAATTTAGTGAGAAGGTCTGAAGAGCAGCAATATAGGGCTTAGATAACTGAAGTCACAAAAGCTAGTGCTGGAAATTCTGTTCTTATTGAGCCTTTTGGGTGAAAAGGGACATGTAATTGTGAAGGAATTTTCCTAGATGCACTGGATGAATGTGCCTGCTATTCCTCAGCATGGTTTTCCGTCTTTCCTCTGGTACTTGCCTCTAATACAGTTTGTCAGGCAACCAGTTAGAAAATCAGACTTCTAGTGTCACAGTTACTCACAAAAACCAAACAGGAATTACAGAAAGCAGTACTAATCAATTTTTGAACTACCATTTCAACATGTAAGGATGTCAGCAGAAATATGGGAGCAGTTTGTTGTCCAAGAAGAAAGCAACGCTGTTAATGCCAAAAGTTTGTATAGAGAAAAGTTCTGTTTCTGCAGTCATTGATGGCACTTCGCAAGGAAGGTTTGCTGCTGTGACAGCCAGGTGAGCAGATGGACCTTTCCTGTCCTGTTCCACAGCTGTGCATTTTATTTGGAAGAAGAACCTTGCCCAGGTTTGTCTCCAGTAAGCTAGTACTCATCAGATCACTGAATCTCATAAGTAGTATTGTTCCCAGGTAGGTGGACTGATCAGCTCCTGGCAACCTGCTTCAAAGGCATTTTGTTCTTATTTGTCACGAAGGAACATGCTGGACCAGTATTGACTTCAGTGTTCAGCAGGACTGACACCCCAAGGCTGGTTTTGTTTTTCCTAGAGCCAGATGGGGTTTTTTTGGCTTCGCAGTTCAAAAGAGAATTTCTTGCTGAGTTTCTCCAAGTGATGTGTGGCTTAGATGGACTCTGAAGAGAGTGATAGTGAGAAGGTCTACCACATGGCTAGTGTGTTGGCTTAGCAGTCAAGGAGTGTTTTCGGTTCTTCATTAGCTTCTGCACTTAGATGATGGGGGCCGTGTCACTGTGCTCCTGTGCCCCAGTTTTATAAAATACCATCTCACTGATTATCTGACTGGTCTTTGGGTATAACAAAATACAGGGTTCTTTGCACTGGAACCTTCCACTCTGCATCAAAGTCCTTTTGTACAGTGAATATGTTAGGAAGTATCGTCCTTCTTTCTTGCCTGTTCTGTTCACTAGCTTCTGATAAAAGCTGAGGTTCTTGTTACTTGTATGTAACATTTAAAGTTTATGAGCATTAGGAATGAGAAGGAAATGTCCAGTTTTCACTGTTTTTCCTCACTTGAAAACCTGTAGCTCTAATGGTTGACTAGTGAAGTTGCTAGAGAAGGGCATTGTTTTCTGAGCCAAAATGAAAGTTTAAATTAGAAATGTAGTTTGCAAGGGATCTTCAAAGACCACAAGAAATTCTTGTCCTGGTTATGCCTTGAGATATTACTGGAACGCAATCAAATTATTGTTTTACTCTTTTTGATGTTTCTCCAAGAACATCTTTTGAGATTAAGCAAACAAATCTATCCTGCTCCCCAAGTCCCTCCCAGCTTTAGACTGAATTTTTCAGAAGGAGCACAACTTCAGAACAAAATGACAGTCAAGAGCTAATATAGTTTGAAGATGCATATAGGAGGTATTTATGAGATACATATATTTTTGTGTGTATATCTGAATCTCACGTGTGAAATTATGATGTTTGTGCATACTTAGTGTATCTTATATTATACAGAATAGTCTGTTAGTCCAAGTCTAACAGCCAGATAGCTTTTGGTAGTGTATTAATGTATTATACTGAAGAAGTGTGGAAGGAGAGTTTGCAATAGGACAGCTTGCTGCTGCAGCAGGTTTTGTTCTAATTTCTTTTCTATCCTTAACATTGTAGTGGATCTTTTGTTATATAATTTTAGGATTGTACTTAAATCTAAAATGCAGGGAAGATATTCCTGTATCTAATTTAGCTATTTTAAAAAATTAGTGTCTGTGTGAGGATAAGAATTCAAAACTATATGTTTTTTAAGCACCTGCCAGATGAGATGAATGTAACTTTAAGAACAGTTTTCAGTCTAAGCAAAATACAGATGAATGTACATATAGAGATGGTTTAAGAACTGTGTAGGAATGAAAGGTGGTTTCTTGAAAGCTGCTGATTGGAACATAAGGGGAGCCCTCCTAAGGTCTGTGTTCAGACATTAGCTGTGAACTCCACAAAACCATCACCTACCTGCCTTTTAGCATTTTTTAAAAGCAGTTTTCCCTGTGTGTGCCTTTCTGCTTGTAGAGGTGTGTAGCACTGCTGTTCATAGCACTGTGTCTCTGGCTACTCGTGGTGTCTTCTTACCTTTGCTTTGTCATTGCTTGTTTGCCTGCCCTGTTCTTCAGGTTTGCATTTTTGCCTGCTTAAGCCTTTCATGTTTTCACAGAAAATTATGAGGTAAAGGGAAAATGAGTTTTGTCACATTTTTTAATTGTTTTTGAAAGAGGAATATTTCAGAATCTCCTCAGTGTTATCGTGTTGCTGCTGCTGTGCTTTAATCACTAGATGAACTTTCTTATGAGAAGTAGAATATGTTTATTCTTCTTTCTCCTGGTGCTCATGCTGGTTTCATTCTGGCAGGCTTGACTTATTGCTGGTTTTATACTATAATGCTATATCAGAAGGAAGTGTCAGAAGCATATGAAAGGATGCAAACAAGTTTTAAAACTAAACTCCAAATCCTAAATCAAAATGATAGAAGTGTTTTCTGTTCCTTGATTTCCCACTCAGCACTTCTTTGCCCTTATCCCAGAAATGTTAGACATGAGCTTGAAACTCTTCTGTTTCATGTACTGTTATATATGTAAAATGTTGAAATTTTTTTTAGATCAATTTCAGCTGGAGCAAACAAGAGCCCGCCATCAACTCCTTCCTTCTATATTGCAGGCCCACTCCCCGATGGATGGGAACAAGCTATGACCCAGGATGGAGAAATTTACTACATAAACCATAAGAACAAGACCACATCTTGGCTAGACCCAAGGCTTGACCCACGCTTTGGTAAAAGTTCATCTCAATTCAGAATTATTGATTTGCGTCAGTTCACTCAGCTTTAATTTTGCAGGCCTATTTTCAAAACTTCATAGTACAATTAAAATATATTTTAATTTGAGTTATAGAGACCTTATTTAAATAATAATTTTTTTAAAGATAAAAACTATAAGTATATATCCTTCAGGACTGTATGTTACCCAAGTATCTAGTGCTACGGGTTGGTATTTTGCCATATGATCCATACAGTTCTCAAAAGTGGTGACATTCAGAAATTACTTTATTTAGAGACAGTTTCAGCCAAGCTCACTCTTCCCTTTAAAATTGCAAAACTTTACCACAGAAGAACCTTTTAATTCCCAAACAAATATTTGCTTTCCTTTGTGCTGTCTTAAGAGGGCATTGTCAAATAATAATTTATGCTGTTTAAATTCACTTGAAATATATACCAGCTTATAATTCCAGCTTGTCACAGTGATGATCATAACAAAACCTTCTGTTTTAAACAGTACGGTGAGAAATTAAATTAGTTTTGTTGTTTCTACTTTAGTAATCTTTTTGTGGGGTAAAGACTATGTAATATTGGAAATAGCAATAGTAAGTTAAGTGAAGGATCACAAAATCTAGATGTAGAAATTCAAAGAAACAGAACTAATATGTAATTTTTTCAGTAATGTTTTTGATCCATATTAAGAGCAGAAGTGCAGACTTTTCAGTAAAATATTGGCACTGATGACTATGAAAAGCAATCGTGTATAATATGAAGACTCTAAACTAGTTTCTTAGATTGTCCAAGTAATGTATTTAAAGTAGCATTACCATTTCTGTTTTTGTACAAAGCTGTGACCTGTATGTGTAAGCCTTATTAGCTGTATTAATTTGCCCTTGATTTGTTTTCCCAATAACTTACTATTTTCAACTCCTTCGGATTGTAGTTATTTTTCCAGAGCCATGGAAAAACAGTAGGGAAAAAAAAAAAAAAGAAGATATCATTGTGGTTTTCAGGCTTTACTTTTGGACTCAGTGCAGCCAAATGAAAACAGTGTGCAGATCACTGAGTAGGTCAGGCTGAGGGGATACAAAACCTTTGAAGCTTTACAGGGGTTGACCTAACAACAACTGTGGGCCCCTTTTGGGAGAGGCATTAACTCCATGAATGCCGTATAAATACAGAGCTACAAAACTCAACAGTCACTGTTCTGTTTTGTTTTCTGACTTGACTGTTAGAAATTCCTGCATTTTTTTGTTTTTAGGCTTGAGTGTGTACTTAAAGCATCCATTTACTCTTATGGAGAATACCAGATTGTCCCAGTTTGTTTATAAACTGCTCACCAGTTTGTAGACAGGTTGAACCACTGTGCAACTTGAGTCCAAAGGTGGGGCGTCAGCTTTGGCAACTGTCCATACTGGCTTTAACACCAGCCAGAGCTACAGACCTGTTTGCGTGTTGCAAGAGGTGTGTGTGGGTAATTTGCAACTTCACAATTACTTAATATGTGAATAAGGCTGGAAAGGAAGCAGTCATTTTGAAAATCAGTGTTGCCTTTTGCAGTCAATTATATTTACTCAGGTAATCTTGCAGGGTATCTATTTTTCTTTACATGTATTACTTTACAGTTTCCAGTGATGAGCTGGAATTAAAAAGGAGTGTGAAAAAGGCCTTAATTGACAGAAGTCATGAGATGAATCTTGCTTTTCAGAACTGTTTTGTACTCCTGTAAATAGAGTAGTCTAACTGTAAGGGCAAAAGCTACTTGTCTTGTGCATACTGAAACTCCATCAAATGTTAAGGCTGTGCAGTTAAAACCGAAAGAAGTTAGAAATGTCCAAAAGACTGATTAAGGGTTTCTTGCTGCATAGCTTCCCTTTTTGGGCCCACTGCGTATGTGTATCCCAGACAGGCTTGAGTACATGCCAAGGCTCTTTATTTTGTGGTTGGACTTTTAATCTGTTCCAGACCTTTTCAGTCAAAGAGCTCAAGTGTAACTGAAAGGGGCAGGAAAGGAGAAAAAAAAAAAGCATGTGGGCTCTTCTGATCTAGAGTGATGGCAAATAGAGACAAGCTGCTAGCTGCTGTTGAGCTTGAAGAAGTTTTCCTTGAAAACTTAAGTTGTACCCATTGTATTGTGGTTTATGTTTTTATCGTTTGAGCCAAGAAAATACAAAATCTTATGCCTGTTGCTTTCTCACTTGTGACCTCCTTAAGTCACTCCAGTCATGAAGAAAAAAAATCTCTTTGACAGAGTTAACTTACTGGGCTTTGTATTTATTTATCATGTGGAGATCCTCGGCAAATATGCGCTGTGACACTAAATAGCATGCGAATGACTCAGAAGTTTACCTTTCTATGCTTAATATAGATTGAAACTCCTGTTGGGCTTTCCCCCCCTTTTCTGTCACTGTGTTGTAATGTAAGGGCTTGGTTTTCACTATTTTTTGACGAATAACGCTTTCAGAAGCAGAGTGAAATCATCTTTGTCATGTCGAAGCTTTTGGTTATTACAGTTATATTAATGTCGATTGAAAATAAAGGAGAAATTAATTTCTTTCTTGATACTACCACTTTCACCAATCTTAAGAACCATTGAAGAAAACAAACCTATTGAATGGCATGTGCAAACATACTCTTCTGTTCCCATATTCAAAACCAGAAGGTATGAAGAGTTTTTGCTCTTATTGCTTCTGAATTGCCAGCTTCCAGGGAGACAGCCTTTAGATCTATGTTCTTCATCAGATGGAAACTTTGCATTCATCTTTATTTTCTCTAGTAAGTGTGCATATACTTCTTTTTCAAACAGTGCTCTGAATTTTCCATTATTGTGGCTAGAAAAGAGAAAGGAAGGAAGATCAGTTTGAAAAAATTATTTTAGGTGGACTGACTGACTTGGTAAGGCAAATTTTGGTGTTGCATTCATGCTTTTAAGCAGAAAATAAAAGAATTTAGTTAATATGGATACTTTCTTGGAGCAGACTTTTAGAAATAAATCAGATAAGAGCCCCTGTCAGAATACCCAGCTGTGGAGTAGGCTAGGCCTGAAACCTGAGTTGAAGATAAAAACTTTGTTCCAAGACTCAGGTCTAACATCTTTGAACTGAGATTGAGGTCTTCAGCTACACCACTTAAATGACAGTGAAGTCTTGTAGCTCAGACGTTTGTCCTCCAAGTGTATGACATATGACTTAAAAGCAGTTTTGCATTAGGAGAGTTCACAAACTTTCAAATCTAGGAAAGAACTGATATGAAAGGAGGGTCTTTTTAGCCAAGCACAGGCAGTCATAAAAGGTGACATGGGATCAAACGAATGGGAATGGGGACGGGGGGGTGGTCCTTAGGCCTGTGTCAGCAGAATTCTTGTCTAGTGGAGCATCTGGTACAAACATGCTGTCCTACCTTCTCAGTGCCTTTAGAGGTCTCAGAGTAAGGTGCTTCAAATTGGCTTTTTTTTGAATGTGGAAGGTGGGTTTTTTTTTTCTTTAAGGTAATTGAACTGTCAGATTGAGCTCGTGTTTTGGACTGTTTTGTCATTTCTGCTGTTGTTCACTGGTCATTCTTCACAGATTCTTCTGGATTTTTAAGCCTTCCAGATAACTTAATGCATTTTCTTGATAGTTGAAGAACATCTGGATAGGAGGCAGGTCAGCTGCATGCATTCTGAGTGGCTGGAGTTGGTGAAGTAGAACATCTGCTTTTTCTATAAAATTAAATTTCCTAGTACCAATTGAAGTTTGGAATCGTTCAACTTTATTGCTACAAGTTTCCAAGACTTGACTTTTGTATCAAATGCCGTTGAAGGGATTTTAACTGTTACTTAAGTTAGCAGATGATAGGACTTGGCTTTAAAATGCAACTTAAAATTATTTGCCTTTTGAGGATACTTAATTTGTTAACTTCAAAGATGGAACAGCAAACTTGAAGTGGGAAAATTCTGGAAACTGACAGTTCATTTCTGTCTGAGTTGGGTTAAGTCTGGTTTAGAAGCAGAAAGTACTCCATTAGAGTAGTCAGACAAGTGTCTGCGAGGATTGGAGTAAAGGAAGATACTGTTTCAGCTTCCTTGTTATTTTATTCCAGACTTGGGTTTTTAAGAGTTTGTAAGTAGTGATCATACCAGTGTTACACACGCCCAGTCTTCCTTCTGTTCTTTCAATTGTCGAAGGTGCAGTAATGGGGTATGAAGCAAAAGATGTGACCTCAGGTTGAAATCATTGCCACGACTCACTCTCTCACTCCCACTTAGAGATTATGTTAATGTTCTTTGAAGTTCTGCATGAATTTCGGTTGAGGGGGAAGGTATGGCAAGTCAGTGTTTAATATTATTATGGAAAGTGCCATAGGGGCTCTCTGTACAGTAGGTGCTTGAACTGCACAAGTAGGAAATGGAGTAAAACTGATGATGACAGTAGGACTATAGAGAACGCACATCAAGATTTTCTGCTTTCTTTTTTATGTAGTGTAAAAACATTACACCTTTGAAACAATCAAAAGGGCTTTGTTTCAATTAAATGTACATGTAATTGAAACGTATTTATCATTTCTATTTTTAAAAAAAGGCAAGCAAACACACAACAAGCTTGTAATTCACTTAAAAGCTTAAGCTTCAGAGCATCTGCTGTTTTTTAAGTATCAAAATTAGAAGGAAGTATTCCATAGTGTTGCTTTCTTATCCCTTTCCTGTCTAGCTCTTTGTTTAATATATGTGTCTTCAAATTGGTTTGCAGGAGCCTTTCCAGATGGAGATTTGTGGACAAGATAGAACGGGAACCCTAGACTGAAAAACTGGTTTTTGGCCTTTGTCTAGTCAAAAAGAAAACCAGCCAGACCTTGTGTCTGGTCATAGTAGCATTTCAGACTTTTTAAGTTCCAGATCTGCCTTCCATTTTTGCACAAAAAGCGAAGTATGAGCCACAAGTGGTTTTGATCTGCAAATGCAATGACATACCCTCTTTACATACTCCTTAAAACAAAGAGGATTTGACTTATCTAAAAGGTCTAGTGGTATTAGATTTTT